CATGGTGGGGGCGGGGCCGCGCTGCCCGCAGCCAATCCCGAGCCTGGGTTGCCTGAAAGGCGGGGCCGCCGCCGGCCCCTCTAGGTCCTAGGTTCCGAGGGATTCGGATCGAGATGGCCCCCTTCCTATTTTGGCTGCCAGGCTTGAGACCGGGCAGGCTGAAGGTTGGAGGCTGGACGGGATCGGCCAGCTACGGTCGGCCTGGGGGACTAGCCCTACCTGCTGGGCTCAGGGGGCTAGGGAGGGAAAGATCTACCTGCTAGGCTGGGTCTTGAAATAACAAACACCCCCAACGTAGGATTTATGTAAGTAAATGCTGAACTCAAAAGCGCTAACTTTGCTCTCTCCACGTTTTCTCTTATTGTTTTTTAGAAGCTTTCGCTGCCTCCTCCGCCTTTTAAGAAACTAGTTGCAGCCAAATCATTTAAACCAGAAAGTTCTTTCCTGTTTCCCACAGAGGCTTACAACACCCCTAATGAAAATGTCCTCGCCATCCCACTTCGCACCTCTGGGATAACCCAGAGAATATGGGTGGCCAGCAGAGGGACCTCACTGTCCAATCATCAGAGTCCCTTCAGAGAGCCCCCGAGGAGCATCGATATTGTTTAATAGGCTTCAAACACTCAGCAGAAAGCCTGTTATGTCCCAGAAAGTTTTTTGAAAACTTTTTAACTGCGGCATACTGAAGTAGCCTAACTAGCCTGTAGCCATTTTAACCCTAATCAGTCAGGCAATACCAGAAGGACAAAAATTCATTCGCTTCAAATGAATTTCTAAGACTTGACGATACACTAATAGTTCTGAAGTAAACTTCTGCATGCTGGAAAGAGGCTGAGGTGAGAATGCACGAAAAATCCACACTTAGGCCATGCTGCTCATGAGGCCGTGTGGATGGCCCTCACCTGTGCCAGCATCAGTCATTTCCACCTCCGCCCTCTTCCATTGGAGCTGAAAAGCACCCACCATCTGAAATAGGCCCGAGGGACCCCAGATGGCAAAATGACCAGTTGGTAGTCATCTGATGCTCACAACTCCATGATATACAGGTATTTACAAGTGACAAAAACATGGGATTCCCAGAGCATAAATCAAGCTCTGCACTGTGTTTTCCAAAGTCTCCAGGGTTGGGAGACATGAGATGGGAAGTCCAGGCCAGCTGTACCACTGCAAACTATTACACACCCAGAAGTTACTTGGTTGCTCTGAGAACGATTATGCTGGGATATAAAGTGAAGAGCTTTATATTACTACCACCACAGACATGAAAGACAATAAATTTTTGAAAGTGCCTCACACGGAATAAATGATATTCCAGAGACATTAAATGTATCAAAATAAGTGTAAATATCCAACAGACATAAAAAAATTTAGTAACCATAACTTTCTGGGGTATTTATACATACTACCCCAAATCTCTAGTATTGCATGTCTAAATAACATAATTGTGCAGTTTGTGCTTTTTCGTCCCCACCCATACCATCAATGCAGAGTCTTTCCTTCTGACAGTTAGTCTACATTTTTTTCAACTAATGCTTTTAGACATCGAGTCCTTTAATTCATGCAAAAGAAATAAAGCAACTTAAATTTTACCTAAGAAGTCAGTAAATACTCAAATACTCTGAACAAAATCTCCACGGCCTGATGTCTGCTATACTGAATGAACCTCAACTCGCCAAACCAGCCGTTTTCATTTGAGGAATTTAACCCTAAAAAGATCGTAACATGCCACAATATCTCCTCCGCAAGTGGTAGCCCATCGTGCCTTGTTCTATGCCCACTAGGAAAATTGGAAGTTGTGCTTCCCTGAAGTATACTGCTGACAAAAACCACAACAGTGGATTCGTGGCAGCCACCGAGTTATTAAGCTGACCTAGCATACTTGCTGACCCTGAGCACAAGCGCACCCAGGATACAGCGCTGAAGAAAGCAAGGCCCTCCCCTTATACAGCACACCTTCTAGCCAGGAAAACGGCAGGTAAAAAATCCTGCCAGCTGCTGAAAAATACTGCCTTTTCCCAGTGCTTGGGCGTATCGTAATATACCCATGTGGACAAAATTCCTGTTATGTACAGTAGCTCTAGAATTAAGTTTGACTTTGGCCAAAACACATCTCTCACCAGATACTAAACAGCTGGTCTTTCCTGTAGAGCACATTCCATATCTACTTCAGACCACGGGTTATAGTCTCTAAACACCTTCATCTAGTGTACGGACTTGAACCATCCTCAGTGATTCTATACAGCCACCTGTACACTACCTAGACCATCTTTCTTTCTGAATAGACTCAAAAGAACACTAGATACTATTTTTTTGATAGAAATATTTCCACTACTGAACAAATATCCAATATACTGAACAAGCCTTAAAAATCCTTACCCGTCAGACCAGCATTTCACTTCTAGAAATTTATCCTAAGGAAATAACAACATACTAAAATATTTAGCCATAAGAGGTCAGGGGGTGGAGGGGTAGCCTGTAATCCCAGCAACTTGGAAAGCTGAGGCAGCAGAGTGCCTGTGAGTTCAGAGCTAGCGAGTAGGCTTCAGGCTGCCTGGTATGGTTGTGGTTCTGTGTGACTGAGGTCCTACCTCCTCAGGATGGAATATTTAGCTCTAAGAGCTAGATTTATGATATTAAAAGATGGGAACTGAGTAATCGTCAATGAAATGCTTAGGCAAGTAATATAGTGCGGTCATTAAAGGTGATATATATTCAGAGGTAGGTGGATAGATCTCTGATTTCAAGGCCAGCCTAGTCTGTCGAGCAAGTTCGAGGCTGTTTCAAAAACAAAAGTAAACACACAAACAACTGGTGTATTCAGCAACTGCATGTGGATAATTTTTCTAATGTAGAGAAACACCTATAAATTTAAGAGACATTTAGCCAACTGCATTGTGTGAACATTTGTGGACTGACCTGGGAAAACCATATTTGAGACACCTGGAAAAATGGCAGTTCTGTGCAATTTAGGGAGGGAATACATTGTTACCCAAGACCCCTTCAGAGACTCACACTGAATGATCTGCTGGTGAAATGTTTTGAATTTGGTTCAGAAAGAAAAAAAAAAAATCCAGAAAGGAGAAATGTCGGTGGGAGATGAAATCAAAAGCAATGCTGCCACGAGCCCATGACTACTGAAATGACGTCGGCACCTCTGAAAATTCCCACCAAGGTTTTTAGATACCCCTCATCTGAATCAAAGAAGATCACAGGGCAATGCTGTCAGCCGTACGAGTGCACAAAGACACAGAAGTCTAGAAGGGCTTCTATACCACGGTGGCAGCTTCCTCCCAGCAGCAGTCAAAAAGAACTTAATCTATGTAATATAATAACACAACCCACCTGTCCAGAGCAGCAGTCACTAGGCACCTGTGGCTCCTGAGCTCTCCAGATGGGGCACTCCGACTGAGAACTGAACTTGCTGCTGTCTGGTTTTGATTAACAGGGACTCGTGCAGACTTGGGGAACAGCTTAAACAATACAGTGGCTGCCACACAAGCACAGGAGGATCTGAGTTTGGTCACCAGGACCCAGGTCAAAAAAGTCAGGTCTGGTAGCACATGCCTGAAATCCCAGCACTGCCACTGGGGAGGCAGAGGTAAGACCCTTGGGGCTGGCCATCTGGCCTAGCCTAACTGACAAGCCCCAGGTCAACGAGACCTGTCCTCAAATAAACAGGGTGAACTGTGCCTGAGAGGAATGACGCCCGAGGACACTGTTCTCCACATGCATGTGTCCCCTTGCACCTGCACATACACACACCCACAAACACATAAGCACACGAAATAAAGTGGATTACGCTTTGGACAGCACGGGAAGGTGACAGAATTGTAGATGACGTTTCTTTCACTTTAGTCTTGTTATCTGAGTGACGTTACGGACTGTTTGCTTGTGTGGAGCCAGGCTCATGCTACCTCCAACTCCGCTGCCTCCTTCTGACTCCCAACGTGCTGAGATGAGAAGCACCCAGCCCTTCCAGTTGCTCACCCTTTATTTGGACAGTAAAGACATACTGTTTTTTGCAATTAAGGAAAGACACAGGCTGTTTGCCTTCATTTAAACCACTTGCTGTGGGTTCTCTTTAGACTGCTCTGAAAATGAGACACGGGCTCAGACGGCAGATCACTCAAGAGTCTGCATCTGCTCTGGACGAAATGTCAAAGGAGAAGCAATGCCGAGCTTCACATCTAGTTCCCCATTTCAGCTCTCCTTCCCTCGGTCCCATTCACACAGGAGCAGGGTGTTGTTTGCAGAAAGGAAACAAGATTAGGAACTCCCAACAAACATGTCAATTATAATGGGGAGATGCAGGGAAGAGCCCAAAAAAGTCTCTGTGGTCTTTAGCTCATGAAGCGGGGCTGCAGCATCTTTGGAATTAGAGAGAAGGAAATATTTAAAGGATCAAAACGGATTTCTGAATGGAAGTAATCAGTGAACAGCATCAACATGGACCACCATTATTTAGAAAGGTCAGAGAAGCAGATTGGACCTTAACTAGAACAGATGTTAGCCTGGATACCACATAGTTCAAAAGAAGTCTGGGCATTTATACAAGTAACTGTGCCAGAAGTGAGATATTTTTATTGACTTATTATTGTAAATTTTCAGCATACAAAGTAATCAAGTATATTTACAATTCTTACATAATGTACATTTTAGAAGAACTATAAAGATAATGTACTTTGCTCCATTTACAATGACAAACTACAGTAAAACTACATTCATGAATTAGATACAAATCTTCTACACACTAATAAAAACTAATGGAGTGTTGGTTATACATTCTTAAAACCCTTTTCACAGGTAGCAAGAAATAGTACACGTGATCAGTCTTTATGACCGGAATGATCCAGAAATATCACAAAGCGCACGTAAACAGATATTTAAAAAGGAGCTGGTCATTTCCAAAAGTTAACCTTTAGCCTTCGTATTAAATGGTGCTAACAACCTTGATACTGCAGCAAGCTTTCCCTGTTAAAAATTAATAACCCAAAATAAAACTGGAGAATGAGAAAAATCTAGAAAATAAGATAGTGAGAACAGCAATGCAAAGAAAATTTGTATTTCATTCCATCTCTCTTTGTCCACATGATCCCCCTCTATGTAAACAGGAAAAGACGCCCACAAAAATCATCCTTCTAGGTGTTAGGACTCAGCCAAACTGAATCCAAGTCCCTTCCATGGTTATGTTTCATTTGAAAACATCAAAAAGTTAATAAATGGTGAGTTTAACTTTATAATACTTTGCTTTTATTAATGTTTGCTATTGTAAAATCTGGAGACTTTTCTACAATTTGATGCTTTCAAATCCCAATCTAGTCCCTCAAACTTCATCATGAGGTTCTCCAGAGTATTTGGAGTTTCTTATCAAACACAGGGAAAGCTGCTGCTTTACATTACGGCGATTTCAAATCCTTCCATGATACAAGTGCTTCGAAGCTATGGCAGACCTGGGTCAGCTCGGCCTCCAACTAGCAAAGGAAGTGACGCTCTCTGTAAAACGAGAGGAGTGGGCTCGGATGGAGACACGGACGGACGAGGCTGATGCTCGTGGTTAGGATCTAGGAGTCCTGTAAGCAGCAGGTGAGGAAAGGTAGTGTGAAGAACACTCTAAGTCATGAAACACACACGAGGGGAGCTTTTAGAGTTTCCCTTTGTTTCATCCTTTCACTTGTGAGGAGCCCTGGATCCAAGAAGGATATAAACTGAAGTTATTATGGACATAAGATTTCATTTTAAAAAATTCTAGCCATGGTCAAAATGCAACCACACAAAAAAATTTGAGAATGAGTGGTCTAGGAATGTTCAATTATTCCAAGTGGGTAGCGAGTTTAGTTTTAAATAAAACAACTTGGTTTATGATCATATCTAATATGCAGGAATTTTTATTTTTAAATACTGCTAACATGATCACAAACTTAAATTCTCTAAAATGTGAATGTATAATTTTTTTCCCCAAAAATGCACCTATGACGTTCTAAAGTACAAGTTGCAAGCTGGATTACTTTGGGGGCAGTAACACCAAAGTTCACTCCACTACAGCAAACACCAGCATCAATTAGTCAAGCACACTGGAATGCTGGAAACTTTTAAAAATGAATAAAAATAAATTGGAAATCTTGGAAATCTTAAACATGTAAGTGTTGCAATGAGGCCTGGTGAACGGCTACTCAATCACCTTTATCTATGCCCATGTTACGCCTGCATTTTCTGAATCTTCATAGCACCCCTATTCTTCTCTTGGCAGTAATACAATTTTGACATTACTGAGAGCATGAAAAAGAGTGAACAGACTAATAATAAAGAATCACACTATTTTCAGCATGTCTGTCCTGGAGAGAAAACAGAGCAATCAGAAAGAGCAGCCTGAGTGTGCAACTGGCATTGCGTATACTCCTCTCTCCTAATGCACAGAAGGCGTCACAACAGGCCACATAAGCTATTATAGCAAAACTCATCTAAAAGCCAAGCTACTTTGTAACTATGAATTTAAAGCCTTGCTCTATTCCATTCCTTTCTGCTATTCAATTTCTCAGCACGTTGAGGAAATTAAGCTGTAGAAATATATTCTTGCATTGCCAGCCTCCATGCAATACGAAAAGGTGTAGCTTTTTCTAACGATACTCAGAACCACAATAACCTTTAAGGCATTTCAAATACACTGAATCTTTAAGGCTTATTTCAAAAACACTAGCCATTAAAGGGCAGCAGACACTACTGACCACCACACCAAGAACTTCTGACACGAGGTGGGGAGGCAGGCAGGCCCGGGGGACAGTCTCCTGGCAGCTGGACCGCAGGGAAGCCCGTCAGCACCTCCAGACAAGGGGGGGGGGGCGCTCCAGCAGTCACCGAGAATGAGCCCAGCAGAGGGAAACATGGCGGACTTTCTGCCCTTCTGTAGCCTGGTCCTCCCTCAACATGTTTTAGGACAATAAATTTTACAACACACGCCAGTTAAAGTTAGACTTCTGTCTTTAACAAAATACCTACAAGGCCAGATGGTCTGCAAGCTTGAGGTGAGACAGGAGAGACAAAATTCCTCTCATCCTGTGGAAGTTTGCACTTCCCTGGAAACAAATCACAATAGCTCTGTATCCCTAATGTGTGGGGACTTACTAAGCTTTGCATGCTTGCAATCTGACTGAACGACAGGGCCTTTATCTGTGCTGTGAATTTATTTCCATATGATTTCTGCTTAGATTCTGATTTTATATTCAATCAAAGTAAGGCTCTACATACTGTGGGGAAAATGTTAAAAATTTTTATTTAATTAACTATAATTTTATATACATTTAAAAATGTTTCTGTGAAGCTGAGTATCTTACAAATAATTTCTAAAAGACTGAACGTCATCAACAGTACTGGAAATGACCCATAAGGTAATTACTTATTCATTCCATACTCTGACAAGACATGTCAATCAGAGATGGAATCTCACCAAACTGTATCACATATTCATAATTTTGGAACTCAAAGGTCAATGACATATTTTACTTAATTCTAAAGCTATATACAGGATACAATTTAAAAGAATGTATACTGTTGTATAGTAAATAAGATAAATGTAGAAAAAAATAAAAGGAATTTATTGCTGGTAAATTTTAATATAAACAGAAAAAAATTAGCTTTTTTTTCCTTACATCTTCCACCAGGAGTAACAGTAAATTTTATATATATATAAATTTTATATATATATATATATATATAAATGGATAAATTCCAAATATAAAAATGCCCTACATTATCTTTGAAATCACCCTGTTTTGATGAAAGCCCAATTTTGTAATAGTCAACCTCTGAAATCGTTTTATTGCACTGATGATCTGTCAAGGTTTTAGGAAACCAATCCAACAATAAAAAGCAAGCTGGGAGTCTTGTGGAGATTGACAGAAGAAAAAGGAAGCGCTCCTCTGCACCGTAAGATGAAATGAGTCTAAAGACTAATGTGTGGTCCACTGTGCAGCAGCCATGTCTGTCAAGTCCGCAAGTGCGATGGCCTGTCCGAGCAAATGAGGAACACCCTCACTAGTCCTCGCAATTACATCACATACCGTGGGTACCACAGCGAAGCTACCAGAAAACACACATGCATCTATCAGGGAAGCTATAGGAAAGAAACATCCTTGATACAGGTAAGAAAACTGGTTCCCACCTGACGCAGGCATAGTGACTCAATGTTCCTGGGGGAACCGTGTACCACCCATGGCAAAGGGTGCAGGGGCCTAACAGTGTAGCATCTCAGAACTTAAGAGAGGATGGTCCAGCTCTGGATACAACTTTATATAAAAGCACAACCCATTAATAGGCTTTTTTCTTCTTAAATAAAAGAAGAACTATAGTGGATTTCTCCCTTTCCCAATTATGAAAGATCTGTTTTCATTTTCAAAAATACCAATGAATGGGTACCATTTTTTCCAAACAATTCAATGTCCACCAAAATCAAGCAGAATTAAAGCAGTAAAAAAAAAAGGGGGGGGGTGAGATTTTGGTTGTACACATTAGGAATTCACCAAATTTCATAGTTTCCCCTCTTAAAAGGCTCAGAACTTCTGTGAATCTTGCTGGAAACGATTGAGTTTCTCTGGATTATTTGATGCCATTTGAGAAAAATCACGAAAGATGTCCTGGTAAGTTTCATCACCTGCACAAAAGTAAAATAAAGACACTTTTAGAATTTACACAGCTAAGGTAAATAAAACAACATCCGTTTTTATTCATACTATTTTAGGATTTATTACATTACATTACAATAAAGGTTTGTTCCAAGAGCATTTTTGGAAGGGAAAAGGCCAACTAAAAACAACGCCAGAAAAGTACGTAAGAAAGGGAAGCTATACCTGAGAGAAGCAGCCCAGACGCGCCGTGGGGGGAGCTCAGAGTTAGGGAGGAGCGAGAGGCGAGCAGTGAAAGCAATGTGAAGAAACATCCATTAGCACACGGCAGGAGAGGTTACTCGAGATGAAGCACACAGCACATTTGATAAGAAAATACTCAGGTGGGTAAAAGTGAAAAGGAATGCCTAAAGCCAAATGCTAGTTAAGGTTCTGGTGGATGCAGGTTACTAAGGAGACAAGCTGGTCAACAGCCAGGAAGAGCTTCCTACACCATCTTCAAGTGCTTTCCACTGAAACTGCTGTTTGTACAAAGGAGTTCACATATACTTTAAGGTTTAGAACATTGGTATCTGATCCACTGCTCACTAAACTAAGTCAAAAGGCCAGAAAGTGACTACAAGACCAGAGCTCCACACTGTCAGTAGACTTAAGAGCAAGAACACTATGCAAAACGGGAAAGGATACCCAAGAATCTATTCACAATTGGAGGAATTAACATGTGTGTACACTCAACACTCGGTTACAGAGACGCAGATTATAGAGAAGGACTTTACAGCAAGGTGGGCACAACTTTCCTTACCGAGGAACTATATACACACACGTACATATTTATCCCTCGAAGGGAGAAATCTCATTTTCAGGATGACTTACTCCTGCCAACACTATGTTAGTAGAGGCTCCTGGCACAATTCTATTCTCACTTGAGCATAAAATACTGTTTTATATGATTCTTGTCACCACATGGTTTTATCATTATTTCCTCTGAGACCCCTTGCATCCCATCTTACAACAATCTCATTATTACAGTATTGTTAACAGTACAGTAAACTCCTCAAGTCTTACAAAGCAAGGTTGTAGAGGACACAGATGTCATACCTAAAGCTAGAGAATTAGAAAAATACTGAGGGGGCCAGATAAAAATCTAGTAAAAAGACCTAAAATCATAAGAAATTTAATAAAAAGATTATAGTACTCTTAATATTTAGTACTTTTGACAGTCTATGTAAAAAGCAATTTATTAAAATCTGGGGAATTGAATCATGACATTAAATACTCAGTTAACCCTACTCAATCTACTTTAAGAGGGGAAAATACAGAGAGAAGAGAATTTGAACAGGCTGGCTGGAGGTTAGAGCGGAAGCAAACGGAAGGCTGGTCTGCTGGAACTGGGCAGACCGTCCGATTACAGCATGACACACTACAACTACCCCTGTGCTTGGCCATCCTACAGGACATCAAAGAAACAGAGAAGAGCGCAACATTAAATAACAATTAACAAACCATACAAAATAGTTTAATTTGTTCTCTTTTTAGATGTTGAATTAAAATATGTAAAATATTTATTGTAAACATTACAAATATTTTTAAAATACTATTCAGATAGTCTAGAATTTTACTTTCCAAGAAAGTGTAAAGTGCAGATTATAATACAAAAATACTACATTGATTTTACCATCCAACACCAGAAGTAACATAAAAGGCACACATTATATATTCAGGAAGAAACAGGAGAAGGGTCTAGCAGACGCTAACGCCAAGTCATTCACAGATAGCACCAGATGAGTGTTCTCAAGTGTACAGAAGTACAATGGCGAGATATGGCTTCTACATTCAGCAATGCATATTCTGTATAACAAGCTGTTTTTCTTTATGGTTTTCTAGTGTTTGATTTTAAATCGCCTAGTACATATTACACAAGTACATTTTCAGTACCATTGTACCATGCAAAACGAATTCAAAGACCTTTCACCCACTGAATTAATGTGTTCTCGAAGCAGAGTGTTGGTGCTGTAGTAATCATTGGTTTCACCGACCGCAAACATTTAAGAGTCCGTACAATACAAAAGGAAGTTTCTAGCTTCACACACAAAACTCATTAAGTTCAATTTTTTAAAATTAATAATGCACTACTAATATGCTGCCTTCCTTAGACCTCAAAATGTGCTGTCCAAAGCAACAACAGCGACTTACTTAAAGCCGTTGACACAGAGTGAACTTCATTACCTAAACTTTGAGGAGATTTTAATCACTTGAAATTTTTCCCAAGGCAAGTCTAACTTCTCTGAACTAGAACACATAAACCAGGTTCCAGGATACATCTTCCTATTAATACGCTGAACAGCTTACTACAAAAAACAGCTAAGCATATTCTTTAAATCACTTAATCATACTTTTCCTCATTCAGAAAGTTCGAGTTTTTTATGTGCCTGAACAATTCTGAATTTTTTAAATATAGACTGCTGTGTTTCCACTGGCAGTTTAAAACTCACTTTAGTTTTTGGTATTCAGAATATTTACCACAACAGCAGTTAGCATGCCTGAAAGAGTTCAGTGAACTCACTGCTGAAACGGACGCTCTCAAAGGACCGTAGGCATCATCCTGCCCCTTCTGGTTGGGAACATTTCCTTCTACAAATGACTGGAGGGGTCCCAGAAGCCATACACTCACATGACCAGAAGTGGCTCCCTAATGCACTGACTGCCCACTGGCTGAGAATCTGTCAGCCTTCATGAGACCCAGCGCCAGAACCGGAAAACACATAACTGATTTCTCACCACTGAGAGCAAAGTGTGCTAACCCTCACCCAGCCAGGCCACCTAAGAGCTCTGAAAGGCTGCTAAAAGAGAACCCACCTTCCTTTCAGAAGCTGTATGCTCTTAATACTCCTTGCAAGAAAAATAGGACTACAGACACAAGTTTAGAAACAGGGTTTCCTACAAATGAGTCCATGATCGCCAAGTGTTTTACTGGGTCCTTTAACTGGCAGACCTGTCACTATCGAAAGACTGACAGGCTGTGTGCCTACACACCAACCACTCCGCTCTGCCGCTGCTTCCTTCCTGTTGCTAGGATGCCAGCCAGCGAACAGGCACGGTCTGCAGGGAAATGAGTGAGATGCAGAGGGAAAAGGGAGGGCTGCTGCTGTTGCCTGGGCCAGCAGACCTGCTCTGCCAGGACTGGGGGGGGGGGGGGAACGGGGACGACACCAGAGAGCAGCTGCTGGGCCAACACACCACAACCCGCAAACAAAATAGTCACTGTCAAACTTGGGACCCTGACACCGAGTCTAAAATCCAATTCTTTTCAAGATGTTTCTCAAACAGTTTTTTCAATCTTACTTTTAATCTGGCATGGCTGGCAGAATTCTAATTTTTAACTTCTAAATTAAAATTTGCGAATTAAAAAAAAAAGTTTTAAAGTGAAACCTGTTTTCCTATTTTCATTGAAACTGAGAAAAAATGATATTCCTCTTGATACCTAGAAGTTCCTCTATTTACATATAAACCTGCACAAAGACAACAGTGAAAGAAGAAACTCAAGCCATCTGGGTAGGACTGGAATGGAGCAAAGAGAAAGGTCCCGCCCTTGCAAATTTCCACCTGCAGAGCAAGTGGACCGCTGACCTCTGACCTCTGACCTCTGACTCACCATCCAGGCGGACACCACAGCAAGCATCTTAAAGAAGATGCAGCCGGCTCAACACTGACCTTTACAATTTCGGGGAAATACAAATGTACCTTAACTTACAATCTTGCAGTTCACTGTTACCTCACAAATGTCAGCTCAGTGTCTTTGATAAACTTTTATTTAAAGTGCTTAAACACAAAGGCCTCAGAAATGGCCTAGTAATACTATCATTTAAAGATATCTGTTACAAAATTAGAACTCATTTAAGATCTAACATTCCATTGAAACAAATGGGTGAAATCCAGACTTAGCGCTGAGTCTCACCCATAATTAGCACACTGACATCTTAGAACATCCTGACTCATAGTGATCCATAGGATTAAAGCGAAACACCCTAGATTAGAAGTGTGCATCTGATCCAGGTCCTTTTTTCTTCCCTATTACATCAGGCCAAAAATAAACAGTAAGTAAGTCCTCTGAGAAAATAATGGCCTCACACTGATATACTTATAGCCAAAATCAAGTATGTGGCTGAAGTTATTAACATAAAGTACAGAAATTCAAAATATAGTTCAAGGAAGGAGAGAGGATTTTACCAGGCCACTTTAAAAATAATAATATAAATTCAATTTTTATAAAACCAAATACGCTCATTGCAAAGTGAATGTCTGTAAGTACTTCAGTCATGAGTTCCTGAAATGTTTAGTGATATGCAGATGAATCAGTAATTCCTATACTCAAATTTATGAACCAGAATGCACTCTCCTTTCATGAAGCTGTATCCATCACACAGAAGAATCTGATCCACCTTTCTGTCCTTTCTTCACACCATGACTCACCAGTGAAAACTACTCGAGATAAAGACTGAAGTCAACATGGAAAGAGGTTTTTAGTAAGTCTTCTTCACCATCAGGTTCACAAACATTGTTCTAAATACATCTATTTACCCCAGCAAATAGTGTACAAATGCCTGGGGCAGAGCTACAGATAAACGTCAGCCTTTGCAACTAATTCTACACCCACTGTGGACTTTAACTTACTGGCAAAGTTTTACTTTAAATCTTTAACTCATTCTTAGGTTAGAATATAAAACTCATCAATAAACTTTTTCATGGTATTTTCCACACTAACTTTTTATATACAAAACACATAATTTTTTTTCCCTGAACACAATGTATATAAATTCCCTGAATAACAAAAAGAAACCCATTTTGTTATATTCACTGGACAGCTAACAAGAATTCTTTTTGAAGCCAGGCGGTGGTGGCGCACGCCTTTAATCCCAGCACTCGGAAAGCAGAGGCAGGTGGATCTCTGGGTTCAGGGCCGGCCTGGTCTACAGAGTGAGTTCCAGGACAGCCAAGGCTACACAGAGAAACCCTGTCTGGAAAAAATAAAATAAATAAAATAAACCCAAGAATTCTTTTAGAAACTGCTTCTCTGCTGCGGCAGCACAGTCTGCCCAGCGTGTGCTCACGGAGCTGGAATGCATATGGTGCAGATGGAAGACGTCTGTACAGCCGAGAAGGACGTCAGCAGCCAGAGCTGACTAGCACAGTGAGGAAAGTGAACTGAAACAGGAACATGTCCGAGTGTGCAAAGGTCCAGGATTAGCCACCCAAGAATTCAGTAGGTACAGTACAGCAGCTAACAATTCACAATTTACAAGTACATCATAAAATCTCTATCACATCACATTAGTTAGCTAAGGAACTAGGAATCTTCCAATTGTAAACTGATAAATTCCTGAATGCATTTTTTATACTGCATTTCAGTATGATTATTAGTAGAATATTGACCTGGCTGTCCATAAAGTCCTTCTGATTCCCGCATTTCTTCATTCATTCTTGCTAAACGTAACCTAAAATTGAAGAAGAAGAGCTCTTAGAGGAAGTAACACAAGGACTTATAAACAAATGCGTTCGTTCCATAGACAGGTAGTACATGCGCTGGTAGAGTTACAGAATTGTTCCCTTACCAGCATCTGTCCAGTAAAACCAACTCACTTTATCAGACCAGCGATCTGCAGTACAAAAATAACCGTATCCCTTCTTGAGTCACTCTCATGAGCAAAGACAGTACAGGGCTTCCTATTAAAGCAGGTGCCTGTACCTCCAACAGCCTGCCTCCTACAGGCTTCAGAGGACGCCTCACTGCTATAGCAACTGGATGAAATGAATGCTTCTGTGGTATGGAAGCAATAGCCTGTCATAGTTCACTAGCTTACCTTGAGCGAGACAGTTCCCAACTATAAGCAATGTGTTCCTTCTAAATAACGGAAATACGCTTTGATATATAAGCACGGCAGTAAGTACCAAAATGTCCCCAAGGTTACCGTACTGCTCATACAGTGTGAGTATTCTTTGGGGGCTACTTATCCTGGCAATGGAAGACAGGTAACACTGGATTGAGCAAACAAGTATTTCTTCTTTTTCTGAAGACAAAAACCAAGCAACACTGAGAGTCCTCTCTGTGGTGCTGCTTGTCCGAGGCCACCGCACCGTCTGCAGCTTCCCAGAGCTCGCTGCTCACTCTTCCGAGCGCTCCATCAGGCAGCGGCAGCATCCGCCACTGACCTTTCCCGTCTGCTCCCTAGGCACCCTGTGAACTAAGGCTGGCTCCCAAGCATCCCCTTGCTATGTGGATGCTCTGAAAGGGCGCTCTCCCAGTTGGCTTCAGTGGTCAACTTGATCATCTGGGAAAGTCTCAAATTGGGGATTGTCTGGATCAGATAGACCTGTGGGCATGTTTGTAGGGCATTTTCTTGATTGCTAGTTGATGGAGGCCTTCACAGTGACAATAACTCCTCCATGGCCTGTGTCTTTATTGGTTAGAGGCTGGGAGAGCTGCAGCATGACCAGCCGAAAATTCTCACTGGAAGCTGAGGGGCTCAAAGAAGCCACAAGGTTTCTTTGAACTGAGAGCATCATGAACAGGCATGTTTCTACTCAAGAGGAGAGGGATCACCAAGTCTCAGCTTCCATTAGCCCAGAATGGAATAGTCACATGATTTAAGGCCTGCCTCCGTTAGCTTCATGAAATGAAGTCTAGTTGACAATATCACATTTCAAAGTGGGCACACTACTTTGACCTACCATGCAAATCAACTGAAAACCACAGATTCTTTAATAGGTTACAGGAAACATATGTCAAACATTCAAAAACATCTGTTTTGTGTTCAAAATAATCAAGTGTCCATAGGAATATTTGTTTAATTAAGACTTCTGTCCCTCCAGCTTAATGATAAGCCTCTACTCCTCAAAGTAGTAGAATAAACTACCCATTGCTCCACCCATCCCAACCCGGGACTGTGCTAAAGGGCAAGAGCATTGGGGGAGCCATGGCTTCTGTTTCTCAAGAGTCCAGGCATTAGAGCAAAAATTCTCGATGTCAAGTCCTAGCTCTAACATTTATTCATTTTTCAAATTACCTGAGGTTTGGCTTCCTTAGCTATAAAATGGGGATAATAGAGAATAGTGTCCTCGTAGAGTTACTGTGAGCAACAAATGAACCTGTGCATTTCAAAACGCTCACCACATCCAGTGTCCCTAAAGGAACTGCACAGACAAAACACTGACTTTAAATCTCCCGCAGAGCTGGGCATGATGGCGCACGCCTTTAATCCTGGCATTTGGGAGGCAGAGGGAGTAAGAGCTCTGTGAGTTCAAGGCCAGCCTGGTCTACATGGCGAGCTCCAGGACAGCCAGGGCTACCTATACAAACAACATGTAGTACGGGAAATAAGTGCAAAGGAGACACTTACAAGGTCACTATGTCGGCATTGGCTGCTTCCACAGCAATACTCAAGGGGTCCTTCCCCTCCTCATCAGTGGCGTGTTGATTGGCACCTCGCTTCAGGAATAAACATACCTGCCTGTTAAGGGTACAGCATTTCTCAGACAGTGCCAAGATGAAAAACATCCATATATATTCACCTTCAAAATAAAAAGTTCTACCTAACTTAAATAACGTTTTATTAGAAAATTCTTAATACATCTACAGTATTCAACAAATAGACTTCAATAATAGAGGCTGACTGAGATCTTTACAAGTCCCAAATAATTTTCATTATCTTAGATAATCTGGTGCTATATAACAAAGTGGGACATATAATCACAGTCGCTATCTTCAACAAATATCATCAAAGTCATACACAGATGCCGACAACAGGGGAACTACCACGCTAGCTAGGAATGGAGGAAGCGAAGACAATGTACACACCATGATGACCATGACACACCAGAAGAAAGCAGGCAGTAACCCCACCCCCACATTCTTAACTTCAAGAAATTCACACTTTTAACAGCACGAGAAAGACTGAGTAAATGGAGTCCACGAAATAAATGAGAAAAGCTATTACAATTCAGGCAAATATAAAAGATGAAGCAAACACTACCGCGTTTTAACGTAGAAAAGCTTTCATAATTAAGTAACTAAACTGAATTTCTTCTAATAAAGAAAAATAAGTGCTAATGAAATTAAAGATGCAATTAAAATATGCTCAAAGTCAGCTTCTTGCTTCTCCAGGAATAACTAGAAACTCGGAGACATCTTATTTGAAACGACTCCAACCGTCTGAAGAAAGCCAACGTCTTACTTCATTAACACTTTCTAGCAGGAAGTCCCCTTCCATGGCATTACTGTTCTGAGTATGTTGCTTACAGCCTCAACGTCAGTTACCCAAAGTAAGAACTTAGTTAATGCCTGAACTAAGTACCTTAAGTAAAACCCAGAAACCTCAAAGTTAGAAGTTCTCCCAAGACAGTGTGTGCAGATAATGTATGTATACATGCGTATGAACAACATGAACTTCAGCTGGAAACAGACAAAATACCACAACTTCAGTAACAGAGGCAGGAAGTAAACTGGTCAATAATGACATGCCAAGATTAAAGTGAGCATTATATTTCATATCTGTACACTAGTTATGCTGGTTAGTTTATATCTGCACACTAGCTATGCTGGTTAGTTTATATCTGTACACTAGTTATGCTGGTTAGTTTATATCTGTACACTAGCTATGCTGGTTAGTTTATATCTGTACACTAGTTATGCTGGTTAGTTCATATCTGTACACTAGCTATGCGGGTTAGTTTATATCGATACACTAGCTATGCTGGTTAGTTTGTATCTATACACCAGTTATACCAGCTAGTTCATATCTGTACACTAGCTATGCTGGTTAGTTTATATCAGTACACTAGCTATGCGGGTTAGTTTATATCAGTACACTAGTTATGCTGGTTAGTTCATATCTGTACACTAGTTGTGCTGGTTAGTTCATATCTGTACACTAGTTGTGCTGGTTAGTTCATATCTGTACACTAGCTATGCGGGTTAGTTTATATCTGTACACTAGTTATACTAGTTAGTTTTTATTGTCCACTGACACAAACTAGTCTCGTGGAAGGAGGGAATCTTGGTTGAAAAGGTCCCCGTCAGATGGCCCACAGGCAGTCTGCGGTGACCTGCTTGACTGCCTATGGATGTGGACGGACCCAGCCCACTGTGGATGACGCTCTCCATAGGTAGGTAGGCCTGGACTGTGTAAGAAAGCAAGCTGAGGGCTGACGATAGAGCTTGTCAATTAAGAGCACACACTGTTCCTGAACAGGACCTGAGTTCGATTCTCAGCACCCACATCAGGCAGATTACATCCACCTGTAACTCCAGCTCCAAGGGTACCGGGCACCATTGACCTCCTCAGACACTGCACTCACGCATGTACCCACACACAGATGTACGCACACACAATTTAAAAAATAAACATTTTTTACATAATTTTTTTTAAGCAAGTGGAGCAAGCCAGTGAGCAATGTTCCTCTGTGGTCTCTGCTACGGTTCCTGCCTCCAGATTCAAGTCCCTTCTCTGATTTCCCTCAGGATGAACTGTGACATGAAGTGTAAGCCAGATAAACCCTTTTCTCGCCCAAGTTCTTTTTGGTCATGCTGTTTATCCCAACAACAGAAAGCCAGCTGGAACACTGATTGTGGCTTTTCTTCTGAATGAGAATCTTTCACTTTTGCCCTCTAATACAAATTCTACATAATATCCTTCACCTGAAAAAATAACATTATTTCAAAGTAATTTTTCAGATAAAAGCTACCTACATATTTAAGCACGATTACTTACCCTGTGTGTCCTAAGACAGTGGCATGGTGCAGCGGGCCCCGCCCTTGGACGTCTCTTTGGTTCACATTAGCACCATTCTGTAAGAGGAACTCACACGTCACCAAAGAGCCCTTAAAGAGAAGAGGACAATATACAAATGCGGATGAGAAAGAGCACATCTGTATGGAGCCGCAGAGAAATAAGGTAGATTTGTTTTTCCAAGAACTAATTAACACAGAATTGTTTACAGTCTGAAGTCCATCAAAACACACTACTCCCCTTACATTATCAGATTCTCTTCCAGCTGCACCTCCCCAAAATCAGAAACCACCAAGTGATACGCAGAAATTTTTACTTTCTAACCCCTCTTTTGAATGCATTAATTCACACCCCTAGTTCAGTTTGAATGCATTAATTCATACCCCCAGAACAGCCTGGATGAGTGCTGTCGCTTGGTCCTCATCTGAATTAGCCCAGTTCACATCTGCACCATGAGCCAGAGCCTCAGCCATTTTGGGAAGGTTTTTCTCATATGAAGCCCTATAAAGCTGAAGTCCTGGATTAAGATGTTTCGAGTCCAGAAACACAGAAGACTCTTGCCTTTCTCCTTCTGGAAAGCAAAGCACAAACACATTAGTAAGAATGTGCTCTTAGCACAGGAGGCAAACTGTTTAGCAAGACAGAAAGAATTTGCAGGAAGAAAGAGTTCTATTGGATGAACAGCAGGAACAGCCAAGTGAAGACAATTAAAGGCCAGTACGCTGTAAATTTAAAGTTACGACAGATAACCTCAGGACAGAGAAGTGGCTAGGACACCTTCATAGTGTCTACAATTACTTCACTTTTGAAAGTGAACTCTTAAACTCACAATGGAAAACATTGTGACATAAGAAATCATTCATCTACCCCAAGGAGCATATGAGATGTTCACATTTATTTCTTAAGCTATTACTATTTCTTACAGACTATTCATTTTCCAAACATTCAATCTTCTCATGGAATAACATCAAATGGTATTCTAGGCTTTTGTGGCCTTGCCAGTATCCAGGGAATATGTTAGTTACTGGTAAAATTGACTATCTTCCAAAAAGCCTGGACTCCTAAAGAATTTACTAGTAGTTCAAACTCACTTAGTTCCTAGGATGATGTAATCATCACAATTTACACTATAACTAACTCAAATGCTTTTAAAGAATGCTTATTTGCCAGAGAATTCTGCAAGACTAAACACACTGAAATCACGGAAGTAGGCATAAAGGAATTATGATGAGAAGAATCCAAAAGGGAGGGAGATGCTGGTACAGCCCAGGAGAATGGGACAGGATTAGCAGTGCAGATTACAATCCCTAGCACACACCATGAAGTTTGGATGAATGTCCGACTGGGGAAAGAATCCAAAAATAAAGAGAAACAATAGCTTTCTCCGTAAACAATACTGCTTTTCCCTTAGTATCTTCTAAAAAGATTAACCACCTACTTAAGAAATGATCTAATCAAGAATTGACATTTAGAGCAGGGGAAAGATGGCCATTGGGTGAAATGTTCACCAGAGAAGGAAAAGGACCTGAGTCCAGGTCCCCAGAACCAGGTGAAAAGCCAGCACAGAGGCTGAGAGCTGTAGTAGCAGTGCTTGGGGGCAAGGACAGACAGATCCCTGGAGCTCACTGCCAAATCACTGAGCGCCACATCCAATGAGAGACGCTGTCCCCAAAACTAAAGTGGAAGAACAAATGGAATTAGACAACATATTAAATAAGATAACCCAGACTTGGAAAGGCAAACATTCCATGTTCTCTGCTATAAGGAAATCTTAGTTCCTAATTGTTCATATGGAAATACCTACATGAGAGAGAAAAGGCAAATGCCAGAAAATCCAAGGGTGGTCTGGGACAAGGGAAAAAACTCTCAGCAGAAAACTGCTCAATTTAAAGTCACGACTGATTAGATTTGAAACTGAACACCTATGAGAACTTTCATTCCATTAAAGTTCTGTATTTTGGGGGTGGGTTGGTGTGAGTGTGGCGGTCATCAGATAACTTGGGAGTCAGTTCCCTGCTCCCACCAAGTGGGCCTCTGGCTTCAACTCGGGCTGAAAGGCCTGGCAGGCACGCCTTCCCCTGCGGCACCAACTCACCGGTAGGCACATTTTCGTGTATCTGGGAAACTCATAATTCCTGCTGTAAAATTTAATCCCAGATACATTGTCTCTTCTACTTAGCAATGCTGCAGAAAATGCAGTAGTCTGTGTTTTGACATTTCTACACATTTAACTACTTCCATTGAGTTTCATCCTTAGGTTGATCCTAATGTCGTTAATATTTCAAAAATTCTCATTTTAGGTAAATTTAAATCTTCTAGTAAAAGTTTGGGGGGAACACAATAGAAATACAAAAGAAATGAGCAATTGATAAGAATAATGGCGTAGCTATTTTTGGGATAAGTATGCTGAACCAAAAAACCCCAAAAGAGAACATACTGTATGATCTGCTTTCTCTAAACTAGAAAACTGCCCCCTTCTGCTATCGCGACAGGAAGCAGAGTGGTGTTTAGGGGCTGAGACTGTGATGGGACAGGAGAGGTCAGTTATAGAGGCAAAGGAATGGGAACATCAACACTCCATGGGCACACAGCACGTGCACACACATCACACACTGACACATCAGTTACACTTCCTCCCATCCCCACCAGGAAGTGGAGAGTGCTGAGGGAGAGCACCAGACATCAACCTCCGGCCCTCATGGGAGCACACACATGCAAACACACCCACAAGAGAACTGACATCTGCTACGTGCATGGTCCAACAAACCGCACCAATCAACACCGACTTTCATCGAAACTCACCAGGCTCATACAAGCTATTGGCTGACACGGTGGAAGGTAGAGACTCCCGTCCATCATCAGAGCCTTGCTGGATCCCACTGTCGTTACTTTTGACTGTGTTAAGGGATTAAAAAAGAGCTAGTGATTAAAGTTCACATCACTTAGAAAGCAGTCTCCCACAACCAACAAGACCGTAAAATGAGCTGGTACACGGAAAAAACATGAACTTGGCCACCACCAGCATAATAAACTTACTGCAATTTTAATCCTTTTGCAATTTAGTTTATGGGAACATAAATCAATCACAAAGCCTGAAAATAAAGGGGTTTTCAGAGTTCTAACACATCTCATTACCCCACGAATGCTGGGAGTAGTGAGGAGCTTAATTTACTGTATGACTGTGGTGATGTGTGATCCTGAGACAATGGGCGACATCTAGAGAAATGGCCACACCGCACAATGACCACTGGCACAGACTTGGAATGCTCCACAACAGTACTTACTACTACGCAGTTTTGAAGAAGTATCAAAGTAGGAGAAGAGTGAGTCTAGCTCATCAGGACAGAACAGAGACTCCCGCCTGGCCTCGTCGCTATTTACAGCAGCCACTGGGGACATGCAAGTTAGCAAAGCACAAAGCAGGCCGTGAGAAGGGGGCAGGAAACAGCGTTACTGGGGAAGTGTGGGGAGAACATAGGAAGGAAATCGGGGAGTGAGTCAGATACTCGGGGCCTCCAGCATCATCAACTGACAATCCCATCTCCCCTCGCTGTTCAGTTGTGCTCCGCAGAGTACAGACCGTACCTAGGAGTGGGAACCACGGGGCCATCTCAGTTGAACTGTCTTAAAGACACAGAGGTCCAGTTTCCTCTTAGAATGTGTACAGGCTTCTAGCATTTAAAAACAAAAACAAAAACAAAACAAAAAAACAAACAAACAAACAAAAAAACCCTACAATGGCCGTAACTGTGAGATTTAAAAAGTGACTTCTGCTTAAGAAAAGATCCAAGGTAAATAAATACCTGCGGTGTGGACAGATGCTCTGACTTGGCTCAGCCTCTGCTCCTCGCAGCTTTTGGAGATAACCCTTTTCTCCTGCTCAGAAGGTGATGATGCCATGGAGTATTTATCCACAAATTTCCTCTCCACATATTTTGCTCTGATGTATGCCTCTTTCTCCTGTCTGGTAAACAGAAAAATGCCATGATGTTTTATTTAGCCCCTTAGCACGGCTAACACTGAGTGAATGCCACTAGACACGGAATCTAATGGCACTTGAAAGTAAATGGGGTGGCGGGGAACGCTGGAGAAATGGCTGGGCAGTTAAGGGTGCCTGCTGCTTGCCCCAACGGGACCTGAGTTTGGTTCCCACTCACCCCCAACCACCTGTGACTACAGCTCCCGGGACTCTGACACCCTCTTCTAAAAGCTTCTTAAGTGACTCTGGAACAGGTAACATAGAACATTCTACAACATGTTTTCCTTCTAAATAAGAAGCTATTTTCACAGTCAGACGGAATAAACGGCTCACTGAAAACTCACAGCTACACAGCACTCTGTGGTCCTCTTAATTTCTGTGTGCATGTATTTGTATACATGCTCCCTTGTGTTCTACATTAAAACATTACCAAGAAAGATAAAAAAAATACATAGAAATTAACATTAATTCCTTTTTACTGGAGATGCTGTCATATCCTGAATAATTACTACTGGTGGTCATAATTTAATAACTATAATAAAACAATACAGCATCCCAGACTTATAGTGGAAAATGTCATTTCTCTTGTTAGCTTAATATATAACCATGAAATATGCCTGTTCTATAATTTTTCTTTCCGATTTCACAACCAAACTGCCTTTCTCGTCTTTGATTCCAAAGCCCTCACAGTGCCACCCAAGCATGTGGTCAACATTTGCTGAACTAAGTCAGAGCATGAAAAATGATTCAGAGTAGATAGGAAAAACCTGATCTTTGAGACATTCGAACAGATTATGGGGGGGGGGGGGTAACATGTACATGTTTGTGTATGCACATGTGTGTGTGCTGGTGTACACACACAGGCACGTGGACCCCAGAGGTCAACATTAGGTGTCTTCTTCAATCACTGTCTATCTCATTTTTGGAGGCATAGTCTTTTGTTGAACCTGGAATTTACTAGTCCCTTGAGATTAGCTGGCCAGCAAGCCCGAGGGGTGCCCCACCTCTGCCTCCCCAGCACTGGGATTACAAGCACGCACTGCCATGCCCTGCTTATAACACAGGTGCTAAGGAACTGAACTAATGCTTGGGACTGAACCACGCTTCCTCTTCAATGCCCCCCACTAACAGAACTTTGGACCACTTTAATGGCAAAAGGCCTTTGCATTTCTATGGAGAGATTTTCTTTTAAACAGTTCCTTGTCATTTAAAGACTACAGGTGATTGACTGCTCAGTGGGGTGCAAAGGTCTAATGAGTACAGCTACAACAGAGGTCTGATGAACACACTGAAGAAAGACTAAACAGAAGGAATAATGTGACTTCCACACACTCCATCACAATGTTTTATGTCAACTGTGGTTGTACTTCTGGTTAGGGAAGAGAGAAGCACATTGACACAACTGTACCTTTGTCCTGGCTGTGGTTTCTTTATTCCCATTTTGTCCAGTTTAGCTTCATAAACACGATTTATAACATCATTTCCCAATTCACACATAAGCTATTTCACAGGAAGACAAAAAAGCAAGCTATAAATTAAAAGTCCTAATATTAAGCTAAACTTAAAAAGTCCTTAAGTGGGTACAATTAACTAATTCCTCTTTATATATTGTAATTGTTCATTCCACAAAGAAATGTAAAGTTAAAATGGGCCAACGAATGAGATTATTACCCATTCGCTATTCGTTATCAGAACATTATCACTCCTATAACAGGTACCTAACAGAAACCATCGACCCATCTACCCTTCTATCCATCCATCCATCTATGCATCCTTCCATCCATCCACCCATCTATTCATCCATCCACCCATCCACCCACCCATCCATCCATCCACCCATCCATCCATCCACCCACCCACCCACCCATCCATCCACCCACCCACCCACCCAGATCTATGACATACATAGCTATATTTAAGAACAGGACTGGACAGATGGCTCAGTGGTTAAAGGGCTTACACTGCTCTTGCAGAGGACCTGAGCTCAGGTCTCAGAACTCACAGTGGCTGCAAGGACCTGCACTTGGTGTACACATCCACACACAGGCTCAGACACATGCACATAATTAAAAATAATAATAAACCTCTAAACAAAAGTCATATTTATCACGTGTCTATCTATTTATCATAACCACTGACTGCGCCTAGGCCTGTGGTTGGGCAAGAAGTTTCACAATAAAGTATCCCATATAGTAAGGTGTAGCAAGCACTGGCCAATGCAAGGACAAAAATTAAAATTAGACATCTTTCTAAAGTGCCCTCATTCCCACTTTATAGAAAGATTAAAATCTATCAAACATAAGAGTTCATTGAAATCATTTATGGACTCACCCTGTACCTGAGTTCTATCACCAGACACCACTAACTCCTTGTCAAATGCTGTAAACCTTTTTAGACTTTCTTTCTCCTGGTCCATCTACTTCTCTACTCTGTCTTTACTTCCTCACTGTGCTAGTTCATCCCAGCTAGCGGAGATCTACAATCACCTGTGAAATATTTTCATGTAAAAATTTATCTCACCTTTAAAAGCTCAGGCTCCCAAGTGTCTAAAGTTAAAGATCGTACTTTCGAAAAATGAACCCCAAGACTCCTACATAGGGAAAAAAGATTGCATTATTTTTAATAAAAAGTTATCGAGTCACTATTTGCATATTTACACACACACACACACACACACACACACACACACACACACACAAATGGCTCCCCCATATAAATATGGATGGATCCTCTGGTTAATAATGAATGATGAACCAAAGTTCTCAAAGCACTTTACTAACTAAAATTATCCACTTTATAAAATGTGCAAATGTAAACTGTTAATTAAATCAGGGAACTGGAAAGACCCACTAACAAGAAAACACAGTAATTTACAACATGTATTTAACCCAGAGGAACTCTCCCGCTCTGGGTGAGCATACCTACCGATGAATCCCAGAGCACTCAATACACAAGGTAATGCCCAAGTTGATGCTGGCCCACCGTGGGTCTGCCAGACCACAGTCACAACAGCTGCTGTTGCCAGGGATACACTGGACACGCTGCAGTGCGCTTTCTCCTTTCAGTAACTTCTCTTTTGACTCATTTCCAGAATCTAGGCTTCCTGTTGATGGAGATGACTTTTTATCCAGCTTCTAAAAGAATTAAGAATCATTTGGTAATTTTAATGTGTTTTGTAAAGGACTGTGAGAACATGCTACATGTTATATACTACAAGCAAAAGCTTCTAGCTCATACATTAAACATCTATTTGGATAGGCATTACTCTAGGCACTGGAGAATAGAAAGACTGGGGCTCTTATGAATAGGCGTCATCAATGAAGGGGAAATGTACACATTAACAATTATGTGATTACTGACACTGAACATATAAAGAACAGGAGATGAGGACACAGAGAAAGGTAAAGACAGAGTGGGAGACATAATATTATTAAAACTCAGTAATAAAAATCCAGCACTTGGGAGGCTGAGGCAGGAGTATCCAGAAGCTCAGAGAGAGCCTAAGCTACACAGGAAGGCTCTTTTCAAAGAAGAAAGCAAACAAAAATAAAGTATTTGGTGCCACATTCACCAAAGGTGTTAACCAGAAGCAAGTTATTTTAATTACTACAGTTCATAACTATGATATAGTGAAATGGTAGAAAATATATCATCTTCGTAGTGAACCAAAAACAAAACATGATATGCAAAAAGCTAATTTTTTAAGTGCACAGTCACACCAATAATAGAGTATTTAATAAGCGTTGGCTTACATGCAGCAATAATCAACCAAATTCAAAGATGTGGCTCTTTTTTAAGTAATTAAAGGTATAGTCTAAAGTCTTCCGGGGTCAAAAGCTCTCTACTCTGTACAAGGCAGTGTGCTAGCCCAGAAGCACTGGGAATAGAATTTGACTTTTGTCTTTTCTGGAAACACACAGAATTAGGAAGGGCTGAGCAAACAAGGCAAGCTCAGCACTTGGAGTTCCCAGTGTCTTCAGAGAATAAGGCCAGTATCGGCTTAAAGATCCCAGCCCTAGGCTGGGCCGTGGTGGCGCACGCCTTTAGTCCCAGCACTCGGGAGGCAGAGCCAGGTGAATCTCTGTGAGTTTGAGGCCAGCCTGGTCTACAGAGTTCCAGGACAGGCTCCAAAGCTACACAGAGAAACCTTGTCTCGAAAAACAAAACAAAACAAAACGAAACAAAATTCCTGACTGTGGCTGTTGCTCAACACAGTCCAAACTTACCAGAATCTTATATTCAACAAAATCTTAACTAGGTGTTCAGTGTGTAGTCTTAACTTACAATCATTGATACATTATAAAAGAGCCAAGAAAAACTTATAAAACAATTCTTAATCTAGCTGTCTACAGGATTATGTAAGGAAAAATAATTTTTTTTTTTATTTATGACTCAGGATCCTTCCCTAAGAGTTCTTGGTCAGGGAGGCCCAGAGGCACCCCGAATGTCACAGGCTGTGGCCACTGCTCACTTGCCCACAGTACCTAGATGGTAAATACCCTACTGCTGGAGACACCACTCACATTGGACGTGAGACACAGAGACCAACCTCAAACTGACCGGGAAACTCTCCCCTTGCTGGCTGCCTTCCACAGTGCCAGAAGCTGCTGGGGAGGGAAGAGACATCCACAGCCTTACCCAGCACTGGAACCTGCATGCTAACGACACCGACTTGCTGGAAAGATGTGCCCACTGGTACAAAACGGCACAATGGTTACAGATCGACCAACTGCTTTCCGTGTGACTCTGAGGCCTGTTTCACGAGAGGGATTGCATGCCAGGTACTGTACACCTGGACAAAAGCCTATGACCGGGGAGATCATAGGCCTTAGCGGGAACCTAGCCTTACTGTTCTGCTAAATGGTCATACTGTCAAACTGTTCTCTAAATGTTTACGCTGCTACTAATGCTTTGGTGTTACTCTCAATTTGGTCAGGTAAGTTTCTTTTTGCAGAGGGTAGTGGTTAATGCAGAGACTCACAACTGAGCAGAGTGCTGAATATAAATAACTCTGAGTGCTCAACTGTGGATGGCTCATGTTTAAACCTCTCAGCATCCAAGGCTCAGGAAGAAGAGAGGGCAGAGATAACATAAGAGTGGCAGACAGGGAGGAGAACTGTGAGGTGCTCCTATCTGGACATGGCATGGTTGCTGATTGCATCAAGTCATGGCAACCATAGTTACCTGCAGAAGACCTGTACAAAGTCAAGCCGATCTAAATTCTCACATGGATGATGGATGAGGGCATGAGGCCCCACCCCTACCAGAGGAGCTCCTGGCCATGATAGCCACTAAGGGGAGATGGGGGATGTGGCTCTTGTTACGTCACTCATGCCTCAGGAGGTAGCCACACATTAGCCACACCCATGGATATATGGGCAGCACCAAATGAGCTCAGAGAATTGTTAACAACAAAATCAAAGGGGGAGAGAAAGGTAAGTGGGGGTCTCTACGGAGGACTAGAGGGAAGCACTGGTGGGTGGATGTGATCAAGATACATTGCTATAGTATACAAACTTCTAAAGAATAAAAAAGTTTCTAAAAAACAAAATAAATATGCCTGGTTTTCAACACAACTTAATTGTTTAGGGATGGAACTTAGACAATGAGAATTTTTTTTAAGAAGTGAAAGTTAATAATTACAGTTCTAGTATTGTGTCAGGACAAAATAACAGATTCATAAACAGTCAATGAACAAAAAGGAAGTCTTGAAAATTAAATAGATGTTAGCTGATTAACAATATTCAAAAAGAGAAAAGAATGTTAATTCAGAAATTCAGAAAGAGAACTGGAGTGAAGAAATAGGAAAAATCAGTAATTTAAAAAAATTAATTCTGAAACTAAAAAACAAAAGAGCAGAAGAAACAATGTAATGCTGTTTCTCCTCACCCCCTCCCCAAGAAAGGGTTTCTCTGTGTACTCCTGGCTCTGAAACTCTCTCTATAGACCAGGCAGGCCTCGAACTCACAGAGATCCGGCTACCTCTGTCTCCCAAGTGCTGGGATTAAAGGCGTGCGCCACCACTAACCCGCCGGAATGTTGTTTCTTAAGGGTAACTGTTTCCAACCTACAACTTCTATACCTAGCCAAACTACCAAACAAATGTAAAGACAACATAAAGCACTGTTCAGGAGAGCATGGGATCACAAATGCCACGCTTTCTGGAAAACACTGAAGGAGATCCTTGTAGATGTAACCAACCATCTTATTAAATAAGAAACACAGAACCAATGTAAAAGAGAAAGCCAAGAGCTCAGAGCTCAGAGCTAAAATCTCACCCTTCCTCCTGCGGTGGTCCCAGCTTCCCGAAAGGAGAGCTATTTCCCTGTGTGTAAGTCGTTTCATAGTCATTCTGCCTTCTCATTGGTTGTAAACCCAAACATGTGACTGCCTCGTCACTGTCTGTATGTACAGCCCCCCCAGATCTTAAAGGCATATGTCTCCAATGCTGGCTGTATCCCTGAACACACAGAGATCTATGGGATTAAAAGCGTGCGCCACCACCGCCACACTCTGTCTATGGCTCTAATAGCTCTCAACTTTATTTATTAACATACACTCAAAATCACATTTCAGTACAATTAGAATACCACCACAGATCCTCAAGCTCTTGATTGAGGATGGAGAAAGAGATGGGTCAAGAGAAAGAAAGGAACATTACAATATGACCGTGTAAGACAATCCCAGGTTAGTGACTATACTACACGGCACGTTCAGAATGACGGAGAGATGATTCAGGTAACAGACAATACTGAGGGCTCTCTTCACCACCATGCCCTTAGCCAATGTTCTCATCGTCTGTATGCAACAATGTCCAGGTAAACCCTAGACTGAAGAAATCTCTTCTCTGAGACCAGCTGCTTAGAATAAGGAGTTCCCTCAGTGCCTGCTTAGGAAGCCTCTAGTCTCGTCTACTCCTGGGAGCCCCAGGCTGCTCACGATAACCTTTGAAATACAGCTTAGGAACCATCCCTGTTAGCTGTCTACCACCGAGTCTATGCCTCAGCCTACATCCAAAGACCCAAGAACAGCTTCCTTTCTCAAGGCTTCATCCATGGCCTCTCCAAAGAACTTGATTCTTTGGGAAGCTTTCAGCTAAGAGACAGCATGGGTTTTTCCTTCTTTGCATTTTACTTAGTGCTAATTTAAAACTAAATAAAATTTTAAACTCACAGAATTTTATTATTAATGAAAAACATCAAAATATTTAGGAGAAACCCAGTAACATGGGAACACTTTATTTCAATCTGGGATATACATTCAAATATTAAAGATATATTTGGATACTGAAAGAAAAGAATAGGTAAGAGCTGGAGATACAGCTCAGTTTGAAGAGTGCTCGTATAACCATGCACAAAGCCCTGACCTTGAGCCCAAGCACAGCCTAAAATCACGTGTGGTAGCAAATGCCTATAACCCCAGCTCTCAGGAGGTAGAAACAGGAGGATCACAAGTTCAAGGTCACTGCCAGCTACATCATGAGTCCTGAGCCAACCTGTCTTAGATCTGTCAAGAAAAGAAGAATAAAAGAGAGGCCACAGAAAGGGGAAAGGTGGGTAGGAGAGGGGGGGCGGTTATGAAGGACATACAAAAGGAACATGAGCCAACAATTTTAAAACACTTCAACTACATGAACTCATGTTCCATAAAAAGGATGCGCCACCTTGTTACAGGCGAAGTTTAAAAGCGTTAAACAGCACAGCCCAGGGTTCGGACAGCACCTCTACTGACCTCGGCCTCATCGCCCTTCTCTCTGTAGGCGGTGGCAATGCTGGTCTGAACTGCCTTAATCCAGGCCTGGCGAAGCTTTTCCGAATCGGCCTGGAGCATACAACTTCTACGAGGAAATAGCATCACTTTGTCAGACAACAAATCAGAAGGGAGAAAAATCCACACACTTCATTCCGTCTCACTATGCTGTTCAGTGCATTAAAAAAAAAAATTAATGTGTATTAGTGTTTTGCCTGAATATAAGTCTGTGTACCGTGTGTGTGACATCCTCGAAGGCCAGAAAAGCGTGTGAGACCCACAGGGCCTCCAGTCACAGCCAGCTGTGAGTCAATCTGTGTTCTAGAAAGTGCACCCTGGTCTTTTGGAAGATCAGCTGGTACTCTTAACCCGTGAGCCATCTCTCTAGCTGCCCAGTACTAATTTTTAGCAAAAAAAAAAAAATTTAGTTGAAAGAAGATTTCAACATTCATCCATCTTTAGGACAAAGTAGGATTGTGACAAAATCAAGGTACAAACGGAAAAAAAAAAAATTGTCTCTTAGAAACAAACCACTTATCCCAAAACTTAAAACTATAAATGAGCCACATACGGTGGTACACACCTGCCGTCCCACCACGGAAGCCGGGAATGTTGAGTCCCAGGCCTGAGCTATTAGAGCAATGTGGGTCAGATTAGACTACATACGGACATCCTCTCAAAGAGGGAAAACTGTGCGTGCGTGCGTGCGTGCGTGCGTGTGTGTGTGTGTGTGTGTGCGTGTTCGTGTTCTCTCATATTCCTCTGTCTCCCTTCCTCCCTCCTTTTCCCTCACCATGTAAACAGAACGTTGCTTTTTTTTTTAAGTGGGGTACAAATTGAAATTGAAAGTCATACACTTTCAATTCATCGTAATACCTAAAAAATTTGCACATGGACTAGGTTTGGCGCCACAGGCTTGTAATCTCAGCTACTCAAGAGGTTGAGACAGGAGGATGACAAGTTCAAGGTCCTGAGTTCAATTCTCGCTATCACCAAGATACAAACAAAAAAGTGTACCACGTTTCCATATGTTTCCATAAGGGGCACATACATATGTTTAGAGGAAGGACAGAGCTCAGTAGACGTGTACACCTAACATGCTCACAGCCCCACTAAGTAAATGAATAAGTCATCTCTAAGACGTTAAAGAACATGATACACGGAGAGAAGTTACATAGACACTTGGATATAACATCTGTAATCGCTCCTGGAATTCATTTTTAAAGCACTAATTCTTCTGTTACACTGACAGTCATCAGAGTTCTCAAATCTGGAACAATCTCTGAGCCACTTCTCGAATCTCGCAGGCGCCTTACTTGGTTGGAGAGACGACCTCGAAGCAGAAGCGCCGCTCTATGTCCTCGCAATGCTTCACGGTGCAGAGCCTGAGGTCCTCCACCACCACAGTGGGGCTGTCCTGCAGCGGGAGGTAAGCTCAGTGAGTCCGCCTGCCACCACCACAACAACCAGTGCAAGCGTCGAGAGAGGACTGGCCCACAACTGGCACTTAATAAACACTCAAAAAAACAAAAACAAAAACAAAAACATCTCCTTGTTGGACCTCTTCCACCCCACTGATGACTGACGTCCATTACTCTTTGGGGTCCCACTCACACACAGAAAAGCTACTTTCTTCCCAAAGTAATGATCATATTTTAAATATCCCAATGAGAAACAAGGAACTGAAAGATTCTTCTTAAAATTCTTCCAAGAAAAAGATTTTATCATTTCCTAATTAAAATGCGAGAGGAAAAATCAGAAAAAAGCACCAATGGATTAACTCCAAAGTTCCCAAGAACCTGTAATTAGTGCAGCCATCTCACAGGCCAAGTGGGTATCTGACGGTTATGGTTGAGAGACTATCACTCCAAGGCTAAGTGAAAAGCACACTGTCAATTAACAAATGGTTCTCTTTCCAGCGTCTGCCATTCTCACAGGCCACCCAAGCACTCCGTTCCGATGCATAAACCCCCTCACTTTGAAATAAGGCAAGAAAACAGACACACAAGCACAGCAGTAAAAGCACAGAGCTCCCATCTACATTACTAAGAGCGTACATTCAGACATGCCATTCTAAAGCTTTCTGTATGTCACCATTGGTCCGAAGATACTGTGTTCTAAAAGACAAACTGTCTGCAACCCCAAAATATCACTATGGGATGTCAGGGTTGCTCCTGCCACATAACTAACAAAAGGACTTCATAAAATGAAGGTAAAATCTTGGTTCACAAAACATCTCAAAGCTAGGGATTAAAATTTCAGCTGGAGCTGGAGAGATGGCTCAGTGGGTAGGCGTGTGCTGCTCCAGCACAGGGCAGGTGTCTGGGTCAGGCAGCTCAGAGCTGCCTCTTAACGCCAATTCAGGGGATCTGATGCCCTCTTCTGACCTCCACAGGCATTGCACTCAAGTGTCCAAATCACACTCGAGACATACAGACACATCATAACTAAGACTAACAATAAAATCCTTATTTAAAAAAGGCGGGGGTGGGGGGGAGAGATGTCTCTGGAGTTAGGAGCACTGGCTGCTCTTCCAGGTTTGGTTCCTAGCATCTGTGACTCCAGTTCCAGGGGATTTGAGGCCTTTTCTGGCCTTTGTGGGCACTGTATACATGGTACAGAGACATTCGTACAGGCAAAATACCCACACACATTCTAAGAAGCAAAAAGAGCGAGCAGTTTAGAAGAATTCGTGACTGGAGGACAAAAGAAATGTCTCAGTCATTAAGGGTACTTTCTGCTCCCAGAGGACAGAACTGGGTTCCCAGCACCCACATCAGCTGGCCCACAACCACCTGTAACTCCCTCTCCAGGGAGATCAAACACCACTGGTCTCTGTGAGCAGCTGCTCACATGTACAGAGATACATACATACTCATAATTAAAAATAATAGAAATAATTCAGGGCATGGTGGCACGCGCCTTTAATCCCAGCACTCAGGAGGCAGAGGCAGATGGATCTCTTTGAGAGTTTGAGGCCCACCTGGTCTACACAGTGCATTTCAGGCCAGCCAGGGCTGCACAGGGAGACCCTGCCTTAGATAATCTGGTGCCTCTGGGGATACTTGCAGTCTCATGCACAAACTTGCACTCAGACATCCACGCACACACAAGTGAAAATAAGTCTTTTTAAAAGGAATTCACAATCAAATCACTCTGCTTTTAAGGATCAGGGCTAATAGCTTCCACCCCACTCATTACGCATACTCACACATAAAACCAATAGACAGTAATTGCAGAATTTTATATATGTCCGGACATTTATGGATTTCAGTATTCACTGAGTCAAAGAGATAAAGAACTGAAACCAGTTTTCACTGTATTGCTTAACAAAGTACGTACCTTGAACTTTTTCTGGTAAACCAACTGGTTGTTCTGTATGGAGAACCAGCGTCTAGATAAAGACAGACAGATTAAAGATGGCTCTTGGGCAGTGGGAAGTGAAAGTGGACACCTGTTGAGGGTGACAGTCTTTAGAGAAGTGCACCACTTTGCTTTCGTAAACTGAGGCATATGAGATAACTACTGAAAACTAAGAATAAGCATCTTAGAAATCACAGGGTAGTGAGATAAATTTGCTGTATTTAGGTTCATTCTACGTCATAACTTTATATCTTAACAAAAGCTTTTATTTTTTCCTGCTAAAACCATAATATTTTAAAAGTACAAACTTAAGTTATTTTTTTTTTGAGGTGCTCAAAATAGTATCTTTTCCCTCAAATATTTGCTTTTATGATAAAGAAAACTTACACTACAAACAAAATGTTTGTTTATATAAGTAAAACTATGATAAAAGGTGCTTTATTTTCAACCCTTCAGAAGCTAATTCTATTCAGCAAATGTTTGATCTGATCAACAAAACAGAGACTAATCATTAGAAGTGTATCGAAGAGGAGATGATCATACCTTATTTCATATAAGTAAGAATTCTTACTTCTTAGTCAAATAATGTTATTACCATACATGACCCCTCAACTGTTTAAATGGCTTGCCTCATTACTGTTAAGTTACTAGGAAAACAATTTGCTCACAATCTCTTTAGAAAAATGGCTAGGCAACCTAGGCCATATGCACTAATTCTAATTTATTAAAATAATAAAAAAAACTAAAGACATACAAAAAATCACAATCAAAAGCCATTCATAAAGGAAGCAAAACTTCTCACCAAGCATGAAAAGTGAACAGTATTTGAGCTGTTATTTTTAAATTAGTTTTATATGAGATGATTTTTTAATATAAACATTAGTTATTAATCTATTAGCAGATAGAGATTCTACCTTTTCATTGACAGTAATACAAATGACCAGAAATTATATTTAGGTGTTTTGAATTTCTATTTTTAAATTTTTAGTTATTTCTCCAAAGCTGAGAAAGAGCCCCGAAGACACCTTTGGGGTTTTAGGCCTTTTACTGGGTGGGTGGGTTTTCTTGCCACTTAAAAAGCATCACCTTTTTCATTGAGAGAGAGTTTGTTAAATAAGCATCTAAATAAAATAAAGTGGGGTGCCACTGAATGCAAATCAACAGACCAGAAAAGGAAGAACGTCCAAGGCTCTTGTTTGGGGACAGACAGCCGGTTAGAAATGTTAGAGGAAACTCTTACACAGACCAAATGGTGCACCCTGCCGCATGGGATGACATGCAATGGAGACAATCTCTGGATCCGATTAAAATGTTGTTTTTAAAATTCATTTGTGGAGGGTGAACTATATTAATAAAAATGTATGGGCTGGATATCATAGTAGTTATCTTACACAGTTTGAGAAAAACTACAGTTTTATTAAATAATAGGAAGACATCCATATAAAAATGCAAACTTTTCATGCTTGAGGTCCTCAAAAATTTTTTTTTAACCTGACCATCTTAGGGCAGTGTTCCCTAGAAACACTACTACTAATACACTAGATAAATGCTTCTGTTCCATTGGAGACTGCTCCCTCCAGCTATTAACCTTATCGAGCATATCTAGTTGTGAAGCTCAGTTTCCCTGAGATTTATCTGCTTCTGGATGACATTCTTACATCACCAGGTTGTGTAAAATACTAGAAAAGACAGTACAAATCTCTCTTCATTTACTACTTCCTTACAGGAAGCATAATCCATCAGAGGCAGGGAAAAATGAATTACAAAGATGTGTTTGTCTGATACGATCTTCCTTCTGCTACGATCAGAAACACATCTAACATCAACCAGAACTTCAGCCAGGTGTCTCACGGTAACTAAACATATACGTGTGTGTGTGGGGGGGGGGGTGCATGTGCTTGGTGTGCATGCATGTGCTCGGTGTGCATGCATGTGCTCGGTGTGCACGCCCACAGATGCATATGCACATGGGGTCCAGGGACAGCCTTGGGGATCGTACTTAGGGCACTGCCCAACTCCTTTGAGACAAGATCTCTGATAGTCACAAACTGGGCTGGACCAGCTGGCCATCGAGCCCTAGGGATCTACCTCTCTCTCCCTCTTCAGTGCTGGGATTCTAAGCACACACCACCACACCTGCATTTGTCTGTGGGTAATAAGAGATCAAACTTGAGTCCTCCTATGTGCAAGGCACGCACTTTACTGACTGAGTTCTCTCTCCAAGAAAGGGAAAGTGTGATGAACAGCTCGTGCATGAATTATATACACACACACGACTACTTAGTATTTGGAGCACTTGGTACAGAAAATTCTAAAGTACTACAAAATGTAACTAGAGCCAAGAGACAAGGTTTGGACAGCACTGTGCTAACACAGTCATAGTCTACAAGACTAAAAAATAGAGCACAAAGTAGAAGACAGCTTTTAATTTCTTATGTATAAGAGAAGTAAGACACATTTTGTATCTGTCTCAAACGAATTTAGTGTAATTTAGACCAACATATTTCATTTATTTTTTAAAAAATAAGTACTATTACATACCAAGGAGCACTTCCAGATGACAAAAGTTAGGTCAAATGGAAAAATAAATTTATAAAAACCAAACATAGTTTACCATGCTTGATCTTAATATCAAAAATATTGGTAAAAGTCACAGTTCCAAATCTGAAGAAGCTTTATAACTAAAACTAGATTAAGTTACAAGTTCATATTTAGGTGCTAGATAGATACACATTTAATACAATTGAAAGGCCTCAGGCACTGGTTCATTTCCAACTCAGTTTGTTGCTTCTCCGGGAATAAAGTGGTAAGGAGAACCTACGACCTGATGATGGACTCCCTCAACACATGAGCTGCTGCCAAAGGACTCAGCCCAGCCGCTGCTCCACCTTGTGTCAAAAGACACGAGCCACGGGCATTCCCACCACTCAGGCTGCACCTACTGTGAGCACATCCACTGTCCTTTCCAGTTCAGATCAACTGAGGACAGGAGCAGTCAAAAGGTACAATTCTCTTCCTCAAATAAACACTTATGTTTTCTTTCCAATTTAGAGCATAAAGAGATTTTTTTTTGTCCATTGCAAGTAATCCAAATGAGCATGGGTTAATCAGGCTTTCTCGTGCTACAGAGGAAATCGGATAAGAGAAGGGAGGGCAGGAAGCTAATTGGTACCTGATATGATCGGGCTTTTTCCTGTCATGTGAAAAAATGGGGCAGGGTTAAAACAAAAGGGAAAGGTGTAAAGGAAGAAAACGTAACTGCGCAAATAAGCAAAGGACCAGCACGGTACAAAAATGAGACAAAAATGAAAGAAACAAGCTTACGCTAACAACTAACAACGCAAAGTATTCGTGTGCTTTATTCATGTATTAGAATATATGCATTTTGTAGAATTTCAACTCTTTAAGAAACTGAACTACTTTGAAAATATTTGAATTACTATATTACTATTACCTTATACATCTATTCTGCCTATCTGCCTCTATGGTCACAACTAGAAAATACAGGTAGTATCAAGCCACACTTTAATAAGCTGTGCTTGGAAGGTAAGAGGAACATCACCACATGTTGACCTACAGAAGCCTTAAGCAAATAAAAATTTCTTGGAAAGAAAGGGGAGTTACTAATTAAGAATTTCAAACATTATAAAATGGTGACTGATAAACCTCCCACCTGCCCACGCCTGTCTTCACCAAATGATAACAGACTCGAAGGCCACATAAAAATACGGCTCTTCTTGTTTCCAGGGGAGTAAGAAGGTACAAAAATGGCTTGGCTGTGAAGCCCAGGCTGACCTTGCACCCATAATCCTCCTGCCTCCACCTCCCAGGTTCTGGGACCACAGGTATGCACACTCTACCCAGCAGACTCATTTTTAGTCTACGTATAAACTTCTTACTTTAAGACAAAAAAGCCAATAAAAATATTGTATCTGTACTACCAGTACCAACAGTATATACAACATTTGGTTTTAAATTTTTGTATAATCCATTTTATGCACTGGGTTATATTTTCTGGTCCAACAAAGGAGTCTGCTTCTTTACTGGCCTTTCCAATTTAGTGCTGAATTATGTTAATAAATATTTTCCTTGTTATTCCTCCTTTCCAAATTCACTGTGAGACACAAAACAGAAACATAGGTTCCAGTGTTTAAAGTCTGAATTGAAACTGCCATACCAAGAAAATAACTTAATAAGAAAGTGCATTGTGGCAGACCTTACATGCACCCCCAGAAAAACAAAACAGCCCTTGGTGTCCGTGTAGTGCTTGGTTCTAGGACCCAGTCACACATATCCAAATCTGTAGATACTCAAGTTCTCTGAGATAAATGCAGCATTTGCATAGAATCATAATATGTGAGAGTATGAGTGTGTGAAGGAGACAGATGAGAAGGGGAGAGGGAGGGGAGAGAGAGAAGGAAAGGGAGGGGGAAAGAGTGAGTGTGTGTGTACGTGTGTGTGTGTGTGTGTGTGTGTGTGTGTGTGTGTGTGAGAGAGAGAGAGAGACAGACAGACAGACAGACAGACAGTGTGCGTGTATGTGTGACAGAGTGTGCATGCGTGTGTGCATGTGTATGAGTGTGCATGCATGCGTGTGCGTGTGTGCATGTGTGTGCGTGCACGTAAGACAGAAAAAGACTTGTCATGCTGCCCTCTTCTGGGCTCAGGTGATTTTTCTCACCTGGGCCTTGAATTAATTAAGCTCAGTCAGCCCTAGATTTACTTAGAACTGCTATTATGAAGTAAATATTGTGTAAATAGTATCATTGCATTGCTTAAAGAGCAATTACAAGTTAAAAAAACAAACGGAAAAAAAAAAAAAAACCCATGTTAAGTACAGAGTTGTTTTTTCCCAAAACTGGTAATTCTCAGTTGGGTGAGTCCTTAGGTGTGAGATCACCTAAGGTATAATAAATTTACATGTTCAGATGTCACAGACAGGAAATCTAGGATCTAGCAGGAACATGATTGGCAATGTATACAGGACATGAACTTTTCGTTTTTCTGCCATCTGCTCTCCTACACAAAACATAATTATCATGCTACATTATATTATATAAGACTGGACACTGCTTTTAAAGTAGAATTGTAATTTATGAAACATGAGGGAGATTTTTTAACATTTGGGAAATTCCTCATCACAATCACATATCCCTCAGGATGAAGATCTTTGATAGCTGATACTGAAAATATGGCATAATTTCATAAAATTATAGGTAAGAGCAAATGTGTCATTGTATGATTGGTGCCTATGGTAGCTGAAGAAAGGGAAACTTTCCTTGAAACTAATCACACAATATTTTTTACAAAATACTTAAGCAGTGAGTAGAAAAGTTTAATATCTGAAGAGGTAGATTCTTTTTGTTTTGGTTTTGGTTTTTTGAGACAAGGTTTCTCTGTGTAGCCCTGGCTATCCTGGAACTCTTTAGACCAGGCTGGCCTCGAACTCACAGAGATCTGCCTGTGTCTGCCTCCTGAGTGCTGGGATTGAAGGTGTACACCACCACCGCCCAGCCTCTGAGAAGTTTTTAATATTAAGGAATATATAGTCTTACTCAGAGAAGCAGAATGTATTAGAATAAATTAGATGGAAAACACTAAACCAAACATGGATGAAAGAAAATTATTTGCATTTCCTGAGATTAGAAATTTGATAATCCTCATTACTGCTCTTTCTTCTCCTGTTCATATAATTCCCTTCTGCTTCATTTTGCATATGATCTGCCCCCGCCTCCAAAGGTTTTGCACTAGATCTGGCTCAGTGTGGTACCCCTAGGATGGTGGAATCCATAGGAGGTGGGGGCCTTGTCCCGGGCCTTGTGCTGGGTGACCACATCACTGAGAACACTGCCTGTGCAAGGGATCAGTGATGGTCTCCTGAAGTACGGGTGCTGTCAGGAATTGGTCACTTGGCTTCCTGTCTCAAGATCTCAGCCACAGCTCCGCTGCTGGAACACAGCTCCTCAACACAAGCTCCTTCCACAGACCCATCCAGTCTGTGACTTCCAGACTACAAAACCATGAGAAAGATAAATCCCTCTTCACGCCAGTCATCTCGCTAAATCTCCATGGCCTTGCTGATTCCAACGGCCACGGGCAGCCCTTTCCACAGCAGCTTCATCCCTGAGGACACACTTTCTCATCCTGCACACCTTCTCATCCTGCATCCCTTCTCATCCTACACAGCTTCTTATCCTGCATCCCTTCTCATCCTGCATCCCTTCTCATCCTACACAGCTTCTTATCCTGCACACCTTCTCATCCTGCATCCCTTCTCATCCTGCACACCTTCTCATCCTGCACACCTTCTCATCCCTCACACCTTCTCATCCCTCACACCTTCTCATCCTGCACACCTTCTCATCCTGCACACCTTCTCATCCTGCATCCCTTCTCATCCTGCACACCTTCTTCTCATCCTACACACCTTCTCATCCTGCACACCTTCTCATCCCGCACACCTTCTCATCCCGCACACCTTCTCATCCTACACACCTTCTCATCCTGCATCCCTTCTCATCCTGCACACCTTCTCATCCTGCATACCTTCTCATCCTGCATCCCTTCTCATCCTACACACCTTCTCATCCCTCACACCTTCTCATCCTGCATACCTTCTCATCCTACACACCTTCTCATCCTGCACACCTTCTCATCCTACACACCTTCTCATCCTGCATCCCTTCTCATCCTGCACACCTTCTCATCCTGCATACCTTCTCATCCTGCATACCTTCTCATCCTACACACCTTCTCATCCTGCATCCCTTCTCATCCCTCACACCTTGCATCCTGCATCCCTTCTCATCCTGTATACCTTCTCATCCTGCACACCTAGCACATCCACATTGGGGATCTACAGCTGCTCCATACTTGATCTAGTTTTTGTTTTAGTATCAATGCCAGTTAATGTGATTTATAGGATGAATAATATTAAATGAAAAGGTCCACATTTGATTGATTTTATTCTACTGCTCTGAACAGCAATGGAACTCCCCACTGAGACTGACTGTGCTTCGCCTGAGGTCTGAGATCATACTTCTCACGAAGTGGTCCAAGGAAATCCATTTCTCTTCTTGTTAACATAATGGTTATGTTTCTAGGGATTTATTGTGTTTTGGCTTTCTTTTTTTAAGCTTTAAGGAGGTGTGGATCTGAAGGTTAAATTTCAACTCTAACATTACACTATAAACCCACATTGGCTGAATAATCTTATAAAATTACTATGTACTGGTTGTTTCTAGTTTCCCACACTAGCTACAGAATTTGCCAAGGACATAAAAGGACTAACGTTTTACATTTCAGCTCACGAAACAACTTCAATTTCTCACTTTCACTGTATAATAACTAGAAGCATTATGGATACCCAGATCACTATAGCTGGTCCTCCAGCACCCATGTCTTATTTTAAAGTTCTACATATTCAAAGGCTTAATATTAAATATCTTAATTCTTTCCCATTTATTCACTCTCAGATGAAGAAATTTTTTTTCAAATAAAACCATGTACCATTTAGATTTTCTACAACATCAAACACTAGAGAAATGCTCAATAAACCACTGACATTTAAAAATGTCACTGAATGTTTTTGAACTTCAATACCAAGAAATCTAAGTGAGTGTCATCAGAACCCGTCTCAATACAGCATTGAGGTTCCCATTTAAATGAACAAAATGTACACCTCATGAACTTACTGAGGAGACCCTACTTATTTTAGTCATACTCATCTTAAGGAGCAACCTTCTCCGTCACTGGGTGAAGGCACAACCTGTTCCTAATACAGCAGACCTTCCAGCCAAGCCTGCAACAGCAAGTCATTTACCCAGAACATAAACACTACTCCTCAATTAATATAAAATTGTTCTTTTTTGACTTAAGCAAGAAGGAAAAAAGGCATCCTTGAGTAAAAGATCAATCACTACATTCAGAAGGATGACCCTGAGGCAAGCAACCTATCAATGCTATTAGGTGTGAAATTATTTCACTTATCATATTAATACAGTAAAATATTTCAAATTTTCTTTTTTGTTTTGTAATTTTTGATATAATGTCATACTATGCAACCCAAGCTGGCCAGGAACTCAAAATCCTCCTGCCTTTGCCTCTTGGTAAGATTATAGGTGTTCCCCACGACAGCTGGGTATAATTCCATTTGAAGACATTAAAAACTTAATTCAGAAAAAATTCAATTTTTTTTTTGCTAGCCATTACAGTTATAATAAAGAAATAACGGCTACCATGACTTCCCATATCTTACTTAAGTGTTATTACTAAGGACAAAAGATCAGGACCACTTGGGCCTAAGACCCACAGGTAAATTCTTACTTTGGGAGGGGGTATTTGAGACAGGGTTTCTCTGTATAGTCCTGGCTGTCCTGGAACTTGTTCTGTAGACCAGGGTAGCCTTGAACTCAGAGATCTACCTGCCTCTGCCTCCTGAGTGCTGGGATTAAAGGCATGGGCTGCCACCACCCAGTTACAAGTAAATTCTTAATTTAAAAAATATATATTATATATATAATATTATATATATATATAATGAGAATTTAGTCATTATAGACCAAGCATTAAAAAATTCTAGTTTTCTCCTTTAAGCCTTAAGTCTCAAATTAAAAAATCTGTGTTTTCACTTTTCACCTGACTCTTAGGATTCAGTGGACTGTATTAAAGAAAGTTAATAAGGAATTTGTAGAATTTAGATAGTTCTGGGGGAAAAGAGTTGCCAATTACAAGGAGAGGCAGAAAATGGCAAACACATTAAAATCAAGACTAACGTTTGAAGTCCGTTACCTGTTCCACGTTTTGAAGGCATTGCTGGCCCGCTTGAAGAGATACCCTTCCATGACAATGCCATTCGCTGCGTCTACATTATACTCTAGCTTGGAATCATCACTGGAGAAGTCCTAAACAAGACACACATGAGTTCAGACAACTGCGTTCCCAGAGAAAGAAACGTATCCAGGGAAAAGAGCTTTACAATGCTTGCATAAGCCTTACGTAAGAACAGGGGACGGGACATAAGCCTTGAACGTCTTAGCAGTTCAGAGTGCTGGGAACCGAACTTGGGCTCTCCGGCCCCAGAAGCCAGACCTCTACCCATCGTGAGAACTCTTCTGCAGAGAGTGGATGACACTTAGCTGGGAGAAACCAGCCTTGAGGGGAAGCAAGTAAGAATCGTCCCAAGGCTTTCTAACATGAATATGCTAAAACATGAAAAGGAAATAGGTTGAATTAAGAGTTTTTAAAAATTTTGGTATCTTTCAAATTTTAAGCATAAAAAGCATAAATCTACAAATGAATCATTATATTTCTACATACTTCTTCTTTGGAAAAAAGAGAAAACACTAGTCCCTTCATTAAAACTATGTGTACATCTATTTTTTAAAATTCACATTAACTCTGTATATGTGCATGTGCACATATGTGCATGCATGTGTTCTTGCATGTATGGTGTTGAAAGTGAACTCAGTACAACTGACAAGTACTCTGCCCCAAGCACATATACCCCAGCCATCATACACAGCAGAGTGCATTAAGTCAGTAATAGGCTTGACTTTTGCAACATACGTGTATTTTACACATGTGTATAAGTTCCCCCATGCATGTGTATGCGTGTGAAGCTGGGGTCAACATGCAGTATCTTCCTGTTGCATTCTACCTCACTTTTTGAACCTGGAGCTCACTAATTCAGCAAGACTCACTCCAGTTCTCTAGTACTAGTACTACAGTGTGGGTCACCACCCCACCCCAGCTTTTTACAGGGTTACTAGGATCTGACCACAGGTCCTCAGGCTCACACAGCACGCACTTTACCAAATGGGCCGTCTTCCCAGCCCTGACTTTCATAACGTCTTTACAGGGTTCATGTGCTTTTAGATTTTGTTTTTACATTTACATTTTAAATCAGCATAGAATAGGTTTAATTATGACATATTCATATCTGTAGATTTCATGGACTTAGTATTAATATATCAGGCTAGATTCCACATACAAGAAAAAATTTGTTTATCTTTCTGATACTTGCCTATTCTGTTTCGACTTCTATCCATCTTCCTGAAAATGAAAAGTTTTAATTCTTCTTTAAGGCTAAATGAAACTGTGTGTGCACACGTGCACACACATGTGACATTTTCTTTAGCCATATGCTTGGTGAAGACACCTGGGTGGCTCCACATCTTGGCCACTGTCAACAGCAGCAATTAACTCAAGTGTGAAGGTGTCTCTGCGATGTGCTTCCCTTATATCCTTGAGGTACAGGAGGGTGGTACAGCTGTCCACATGGTGGTTTTCCTTTTAGTTTCTCGGGAGGACTAAATGTTTTGTTTGTAGCATCTGGAGGCTCTTAGCAATCACTACAATGCTCAGAACATAAATAATGGGGCCAGGAGTACAGCTCAGTGGCAGTGTGCTTGTCCAAGTCGGGCAAGGCCAAGTTAGACTCCCAACACCAAAGCAGTAATAATCTAAAACATAAAACAAAACCTCCTGGGATGTGCAACGCACTGTAAATGTGTATTCCCAACTACTTTTTGAGTCTTCTATTATCAATGTCCCTTAATAAAGTACTCAGATGTGACACACTGCAGTAGGTTTCATATGTAAGGAGCTAGGAGTAGCGGATGCGATATTGCTGCTGGAACCTCTGCAAACACATTCATGATCTGACAGTTAGGAAGGAACACTCAAAGGCAACTGGGAAAAAGGAAAACTGGAAGACAGAGGTCAACAGAACAAGACCTCAGCCTCTCAGGAGAACCTGCGCTTTCCTGAGGGGCCCAGGAAACAGAAGGCTCCACTAAGAAGACTGAGTGAAAGGAGCGGATGAAAGCCTCCCCCACTGAACCCACAAGTGAGAGCAGAGGGACCATATCACCACTACCGTTCAAGACTATCCATCACAAAGGTCCTAGTCAACCAGCGCACGGAAAAGGTGAAGGGAAGAAAGAAAGCAGCACACTGTCCTGTCGTTACTTAGGGAGAGGATACTGCACACAGAACACTCAGAAGAATTCAGAGAGAAACCAGTACCAAGAGCATCAGTGAGATGGCTAGGTATAAAATCAATACAGAACAGCATTAGTAAGATGGCTGGGTATAAAATCAATACAG